AGAGAGAAAGAGAGAGAGAGAGAGAGAGAGAGAGAGAGAGAGAGTGGGGTGGGGTAGCGGTTTCTTTAAGAGCGCGGGCTCTTTAAGAGCCCCGCCCAGACTACAAGCCCCGCCCCACCCACTGGAGGCGGGACTCGGGCGGTTTGAAAGGTCCGCGCGCTGAGCTGGGTGGCTCGGCTGCCGCTGAGATGTCGGTGCTGAGGTCTATGGACAAGCTGCCTGACCTGAACCGAGCCACCATCTTGGTAGGTGCGGACGGCGCCCTTGGGCTGGCTTCCCGCAAGCCCAGGCCTGTGTGCTTCCTCAGTACAGCACGCTCGGACGGCGGCGGGGGTGGGCGGGCGTACTACTCTGAGCCAATCGGAGCGGCGGCCCGCGAGACTGAGTGACGCCTCCACCAATAGGTGTGCTGCTGGCTCTTCAACGTGCTTGAGTGGGCGTTCCAGTTCGAACTTGGGTTTCCCGGCTTTCTAAGAGAGTCGTAGGACGATCTCTCGGAGTGTGGCTCCTCAGGGTCCGCTTCTCGGGAAGTGGAGCTCTCCGGGCCGCCTCTGGCTGGGTGTATACCCCTAGGAGGGATTCAAAGTGCCGGGCCCTCCGGAGGAGCCGCCCTGCTCGGATCTTCATCTGTCTGGTTCTCTCCCTTCGCAGCTGGTGGGCACGGAGGATGCGCTTCTGCAGAAGCTGGCGGAGTCGATGCTCCAAGAACACTGTGCGTCTGAGCTGAGGGTGTAAGTTGCTGTGGTGTAGCCTGAACTCTCTGAGCTGGCCTGAGGGAAGGGAAGGGAGCCTGCGAGAGAGGGCCCAACTCTTCCCAATTGCCACTCTGGTCCTGCCCACCCTTGCGGAGCTGACTCCTTTACGAGTCTCTGCAAGCGTTCATGATTCATATATAACTCCAAAAACCCACTTAACTCATTGAAGTTCTGGGTTTGGTCGTCAGCGCCTAAAAACGAAGCGGAGGTTTGTGTCTTGGTTTTGTTTCCTTTTGCAGCGACGAAAGATAAAATACCCTGACAAAAGCAGCTTAAGAAAAGACATACTTGGCTCACAGTGCCGGGTTACAGCCCATCGTTCTTGGAGAAGTCCGTGGAGCAGTCGGTTATTATATCCACAGTCAAAAGGAAGGAAGGAATTCGTGCCCATCTGCCTTCCTCATCCCAATTAAGAAATTAAAAAGAAAAAATCCCTCATAAGGCATGCCTACAAGCAAATTTAATGTAGACAGTTCCTCATTGAGACGCCCCCAGGTGTTCTTAACCTCTGAGATGGCCACGGGCTGCTCTTCCAGAGGCCCTGAGTTCAATACCCAGCAACCACGTGATGGCTCACACCCATCTGTAATGAGATCTGGTGCCCTCTTCAGGGCTGCAGGGATACATGCAGATAGAACACTGTATAACAAACAAATCTTTAAAAAAAAGTGACCATAACAAGAGAGTGACCAAAACCCCTGGAGAGTGGAAAATAAACACCATTTAGAGCCCAAAATGAGAGGGAGATACAACATTTATAACGTGGAGGCTCCAGGTCATTCTGTTACATATCCAGTTTCAGGCCAACCTGGGTTCCATAAGACCCTGTCTCAACAAACCAAAGCACAAGTCACGTCCCTACCTGTTTTCTTGTTTCATCACCTCCCTACCTGTTTACTTGTTTCTGGTCCTCCCCCTAAACATACACACCAGTCCCTAAGAATCGAGATTTTTGACCACGTTCATGGGCGAGCCACCAGAGCCTTAAGCAGTAACTAACACAGAGTAGCTCACTTAATAACAGTTGAGTTAATCTGGTTAATTCATGATCCAAGAAATGTACTAAAAGTGTAAAGCAGGGATCTCTGAGGGTGGCATGGTGAAGTGAAGGTGAGCTAGTCCAGGAAGATGAATTAGAAAATAGCAAAATTGTTTTTTGTTTTTTGTTTTTTTTTTCTCTCAAGATGGGGTTCCTCCCTGTAGCTTTGGAGCCTATCCTGGAGACCAGGCTGGCCTTGAACTCACAGAGATGTGCCAGAAAATTAGCAAAATTCTTAAAGCTTCACTGGTTGTAAAAACGGTCCTGGTATGGTGTACCTGCAACAAAATTCTGAGAATTCCTTGGTGCCCCCAGTTTTGGAGGAATAGTTATTACTGTGTGTTTTCCCTTTAATTTTCTAACCTCACCAGGCTTGAGAATATGAAACACATTAACACCAGACCAAGCTCATAACTCAGAAAAAGAACCTGTGTGAGGGTGTGAGATCTTGGAGGTACAGACAGTTGTGAGCTGCCATGTGGTTGCTGGGAATTGAACCCAGGTCCTCTGGAAGATCAGTCAGTGCTCTTAACCACTGAGCCATCTCTCCAGGCCCTAGAAAAGGATTTTTAGAAATTCATTTGGCCTTGAATTTGTAATCCCAGCTGCCAAAGAAGCCAGAAGAGGAAGATGTGTGTGTCTTGTGTAGTTTCAGCTGGGCATGATGACACAAGACTAATCCCAGCTCCTGGAATAGAGGGAAAAAGAATCAGGGCTTCAAAGGTTAGCCTCAACTACATAGGAAGTTACATGCTATACCTGAGCTACATAAGACCATGTCTTAGGAAAAAAAACTATGATAATTTTAAAAATAAGTGTTATGCTTTTGGTATTCCTTGAATTATAATCTAAGAAAAAGAGTGATGGGTCAGGCATAGTAATGCTGGCCTTTAATCCCAGAGCTTGGGAGGCAGAAGCAAGAGGATCTCTGTGAGTTCAATGCCAACCTAGTCTACGAAGTTCCATGACAGCCAGAACTACACAGAGAGACCCTGTCTCGAAGAGGAGGAGGAGGAGGAGGAGGAAAAGGAAAAAAGAGCTCGATGTATACAAAAAAATGGGTAGAGAATTCAAGAAAGGCCTTCAGGTTGTGTGTTTGGCAGCTATAGCTGGCAAATGACAAAACTGAGTCAAACCCACATCTACCTCATACTAAAGAGATTCAGTCTTATCCCTTAAGCATCTCAGCCCAGTACCCCTCCCAGGGAGGTCTGGGTAGAGCTGGCTGTGTCCCACCAAGTGGGTAGTGCTGGACTCCGTCTGAGGCAGCTCCTTTCCGTCTAAAGGACAATATGTGACAGTCACTGTGAGGTGGGTATGAGTGTCTTTAGCCATGCACTTTCTTGTTTTTCAGCCACTTGGCCAATTCCCTCCCTTTGCCCTCCACTGTGAACCGGCCCCGAATTGACCTGATTGTGTTTGTAATTAACCTTCACAGCAAATACAGGTGAGAGACAGGATGGAGCTCTGGAGGACCTAGCTTGGACATGTGCTGGAACAATAACCTTACAATGGGAAAGCAAGAGGCAGTGAGAGGCTGCATGGCTGAGGAGGGAGGGCTTCAGGGTTTGAAAGACAAATCATGACAGTGTTTGTCACCTGTTCATTTAGCACATACTAAGGGGGGCAAAAAAGAGCATGGTACCCCCTCCAATTGCAATTACAGACAGTTGAGCTATGGGGGTGGGGGTGTTCTGGGACACAAACTCAGGTCCTCTGGAAGAGCAGTCAGTGTGCTTAACCTTTGAGCCGTCTGTCTCTCCAGCCCAAATTTCTGCCCTTGTTTTATTTACTTTGTTTGTAGCATTGTGGGCCAGTGCTCTGCTGAGGTTTTTCACACTGGGGGTTAAATTTTAGCACATGACCACTTAGCACTAAACCATGTCAAAACTATAGCAGTCAGAAGTTGAATAGTGGTTAGGACAGTATTTGAGAAAAACACAGATGTTTAAACACAACACTGTGTTTGCACCCCAAACTGTTGGCAGCAGTTTCCTCTGGAGAATTGGCATCAAAGAGTCCTTAAAGAGGAGGATTCTTTAAAGTACACATACACACACACACACACACACACACACACACACAGCTCAGTGATTGTAAAAGTTTGGTTCCCAGCACCCACTACAGGAGACTCAGAATCTACTGGAACTCCAGCTCTGGGGGATCCAATGCCTCTGGCCTCCACAGACACCAGCACTCAGGTATACACCTAAACTCATGTAAGCACCAATCAACACATAGTTTAAAATAAAACAGAGGGGAGATACGGCATTTGGAATATGGAGACAGGAGACAGGAAGATCAGAAGTTCCAAGTCATCTTCAGGGCAGCCTGAACTATCTTGCCTCAAAAGGGGGAAAGCAGGCAGCAAGATGGCTTAGCTCAAACTTGTTCAACTCCAGGACTCAGTATGGTCCTCTGACCCACACAGGTACCTCATGACACATTCCATGGATGTGTGTATACACATGATGAATAAATATAAAAAAAAAAAACCCACCCAGCTTTTAGCTAGAATAATGGTATATGTCATAATCCCAGCACTCAGAATGCTGAGGCAGGATGATCAAGAGATAGGGGCCAGCTTGAGCTACATAGTGACATTGTTATGAATATGGTGTGAGATGGGACCTTTGGTGGGTCCCATGGCGATGAGAGACAAATATGCAATCAGGCAGGACTTGTGTGGAAAGTTTATGGAGGAAGGGAATAAGAGAAGAGGAGAGAGGAGAGACAGACCTATCTGCCTCTTCAGAGAAATGGCAGAAAAGAGAGGGGAAGTGGGTGCAGCTTGCCTCTTAGAGGGACCTTTGCAACTGCCTACAGAGCCAGGGTACTGCCTGCCAGGCCTGCCAGGTTCCCAAGGGGTGGGGCCAGGTTTGCATTTGTCTGGATGCTAACAAAGGTCCTATCTCAAAAAAACAAAAACAACATGGGGGTGGGGTGGTTGTTGTTGAAATAGGGTATCTGTAAGTAGCCCTGAATGTCCTGGAACTTGGTATGTAGACCAGGCTGGCTTCAAGTTAGAGATTTGCCCGTCTCTGCCTCTGTGTACCACAAGTAGGGCTGTTTTGTGAAATTCTGTCTTCTGTTGTTTTCTCGCTTGGTCTTGTATCCCAGCCTCCGGAAGGTGGAGGAGTGTCTGAGCCACGTGGACAGCAGCTTCTTCCTGGGGAAAGTATGTTTCCTCGCCACAGGGGGTGAGTGTGGCCTCTTTCTGCTTCATCCCTATCTCAACTAGAGCAATAGCAGTTGTGGCCCTTGTTGAGGTGGCCTGCAGAGTTCTCCTTACCCAACTACTGACTTTTTTTTTCTTTTGCCTGAGGAGGTCTGAAGAGGTCATGGGATCTTCTAGAACTGGAGTTACAGATAGTTGTGAGCCACCATGAGTACTGGGAGTCAAACCCAGGTCCTCTGGAAGAGTAGTCAGTGCTCTTAACTACTGAGCCATCTCTCCAGCCCCTATTTAAGAATGTACTTTTGTTTTTGTTTTGTTTTGAGACACTATGTATCCCTGGCTGTTCGGGAACTCACTATGTAGATGAGGCTAGCCTCAAACTCACAGGGGTCCACCTGCCTTTGCCTCCTGAGTGCTGGGATTAAAGGCGTGCACCACTAAACCAGGGACTACAACTTTCTAACTTGATCTGAATAGCTAATTATGCTCTTGCTTGGAGTTCCTTGCTGACTCCTGTGGCTTCCAGAGTGAAATTGAAATCCTCTAAAGATACAAAGTAACCCTGGAAGTGGCACACACCTACAGTCTCAAGTACATGATGCCAAGTTTACAAGATCAGGAGTTTAAGGACAGCATGTAGGGGAATTACTGAGAGTTCAAGGCCAGCTTGACAACCTGGTGAGATCATGTCTCAGGGATTTTGCAATAGGCCTCTGCCTTCATGTCTAGCCCCACTCCTTTTCCTCTCATTCTTTGGGTCAGCCACAGTTCTCTGAAAAAGGCCCTACTGGCCCTGAGATGAGGCAGTATTACTGGTAATCACTGGCTCTCACTGTGCACCAGACACTCTGGGTTTTTATTACAATAGTCGTTGAGGTAGGCATTACAACTGAGGAAACTGGTCATAAGGTTAAGTGGCTTGCCCAGGAGCCCTAGAGCTCAACAGTAGAGAACCAAGTTCAACTGGGCCATCACCTTCTTTTGTTTGGGTTTTTGCTTTGTTTCATTTTGTTTCTTTACATTTTGAGACAGGGACTCCATATGTAGCTCAGGCTAACCTCAAACTCTATGTGCCACCATGCCTGGAGTCAAGAATATCCTCTGAGTGATTTCTGTGGGGTCCTGTCAGGTACTATTTCTCCTCTTTGTCTTGCTAACTCCTTTGAGAACTCAGGAACACTCTGCTCAGGGTCAGTGACTGTCTGATCACACTGAGTTCCTGGGGGAGAGTTTCTCCCTGATGCCGATGATGGTGTTAATAGTGATGGTGAATACTGGTAAACAGGTGAAAGCCTGGGATCCCTCAGTATCAACTCACTGACTGTGAGCAGCTCTGTGTAGTGGGTGCTCTTATCCTTATTTCAAAAGTACAGTAACTCAGCCAGGTGGTGGTGGTTCATGCCTTTGTTCCCAGCACTCAGAAGGCAGAGGCAGGTGGATCTCAGTGAGTTCAAGGCCAGTCTGGTCTACAAAGTGAGTTCCAGGACAGTCAGGACTGTTACACAAAAAATAAAATAAAATAAATAAATAAATGAAGAAACGCTTTAAGCCTTTTCAGCCTTGTAGTATAATGTGATGGTCTTGACTGCTCAGAAAAGAATGGCCAGGCATGATGGTGCACGCCTTAATCCCAGCACTTGGGAGGTGGAGGCAGAGGCAGGTGGATCTCTGTTGGATGTAGTCTGAAGTATGCCTGGCTTCTTTGCAGCTGGACGGGAGAGCCACTGCAGCATTCACCAGAACACAGTTATAAAACTGGCCCGTACCTACCGAAGCCCTTTGCTCTTCTGTGACTTAGAGGTAAGAACCCTGGTCATTGTGGCCAGTATTATAATTCAGTACAAGGAAAGGGCAGTGAGAACACGGGAGCATATTGGGGTCATGCATACTGAAGGATCACTGGGTATGGAGGGAGGCAGGTAATTCTGGTTAAGACTTAGTCTTAAGTCCTTCCTGCACATTTAAAGTCCCTGTTGATATTGCATTCTCCTACTGGAGGATAAGTACTTATGATATGAGGTGTCCTTGAGTCTTTAGACTCACTTTATTTGTACAAACAAGATATCACCACATATCCCCTTTTTGTAAAAAAATAAAAAAGTTATAACTAATATAAGAAAAACTATATTCAGTAAGTACAATAACTATATACAATACGTACAGGCAGTAAGTCCATTAGCAATGTCTAGTCCAATTGCATTTGGCAAATTCAGAGAAAATACTCCATTATCTATACTATCTTGGTGAGTTCAAAGTCTTGTACCTAATTTACTTTCTATTCTAATTTGCATTATCAAATTATCTTTTAATGTCTCTCAACCTTTCACACTTTGCACATCTTTAGTGTACAGAGTTTCCTTTTTGAGTCTGGTAAACAAGGAGAACTCTTAACTATGTAGTCTTCAACTCCCTCAGAGACCCGAGACCTGAGTAAACAGGAAGTACAAGCAATTGACTTCCAAAAAATGTCCTTTCTGTCTAATGGACCAGTGTATTCTCATGTCTTTCTGGCCGTCACAGTGCCCGATGTCACAGGCCTTGTCTGTAGTGTCACAGGGCAGGACACACTGCAAATACTAGGGGTTTTAATTAGATGGACAGGTACATAGCTGAGTGTGTTGGTTCCGCCCTGATTAGCTTCTGTAGGTGTGCTCACCAGGTGAGCCCTGTCTAGCCATAGCAAAGCAGGTATGTGTTTTCTTTCTCTTTTTATTTTGTGTGTGTCTTATGTGCTCGTGAGGGGGATCATGTGCCTGTGCATGCCCCAAGCCAGAGAAGGATGTCGGGTGTCTTTCTCTATCACACTGCCTAATTCCCTTGAGCTGGGTCTTTGCTGAATCTAGAACTAGACTGGTACCTGTCTAGCCCCAGCAATCCTCCTGTATCTGCCACTCCCTTCCCCCCACAACACTAGGGTTCCTGGCACACACAGCTATATACAGCTTTTGACATGGCTACTAGGGTCAGGATGCATGCATACTTATATAGCAAGCACACTTACCCACTGAGCCAGCTCTGCAGCCTCGGAAATGCATTTGCGCTGATCTGTGGTGGTGTTCAGTAGGAGTTAATGTATGCTTCCAGGGAGAATTACTGAAGGTTCTCTGGGCCCAAGCTGCCCCGCCCCTCACTTGACCTGCTCAGTTGAACTAGGGATCTTTTTGTTAGTTTCCAGGTTCATTTGAGCATTTGTGCCCTGGGTCTTAGCATTTTCCCTAAGAAGTGACTCCATAAGAACCAAGTCAGGACAAAATCCCATACATCCTGTGCCCAGGGTTTCCTGTTCTATGGTCTGTGTACTGTGCCTGTGACCCCAGAATTCAGGTGATCTATAAATTTGGATGAGAAGTAGAACATATCCCTCCCCCACAGCACCATACTAACCTCTAGCTAGACTTGAGCTCATGAATTAGCCAAGAATGTCAGCGGGAATAGCCAAGCTAGCAGTTACCAACAAACATAGCATGCTGGGGCTGGAGTGCCGGCTTATTGGGTTTGCCATTCTTGAAGAGGACCTGAGTTTGGTTCTCAGCATCTACATAACAGCTCACAACTATCTAACTCTAGTTCTCATACCCTTGACCTTCTTGGACACCAGGCACACATGGTACACAGACATACATGCTGACAGAATACCTATACACATTGAGGAGCTGATGCTTTCATTTACATATTGGGGCAGACCTCATCACTACTATATTCTGGTTGCTAAACTGCCCTGAGATCACCCCTGAACCAAAGCATGGGTGGGGTGTGCATGCATTCATTGCACACCGGCATGGGTGGGGTGTGCATGCATTCATTGCACACCGATCGGTCTTATTAACATTGGTTTTCAGAATCCTTGATAGATCCTGGCTCTGCTCGCATAGGTGACGGCACCCTGTGCCCCTGGCACACCTGAAGTGTCTCACCCTCCAGGCTTTCCTCATAGCAAACCTCTGAGAAGACACTCCAAAAAGAGTCACACAGTAAGTTAGGGCCAGCTACTTAGTGTGCAGCTGTTTCCCCATTGTGGCCTCCTGACCATGTGACTTTGAGCAAGTCACCTTACTGAAGAATCAGTAAGATCTCTTCCTGAAGAATCATCTGCTTCCCAACTCTGGTGCCTGCTAACTCTATGGCAGGCACTGTTGCCGTTCCCTATGTGGCCATGAGGTGGCAGGCCACACCAGTTTTTGAGTTTCCATGCTTGTGGCCTTGAATAATATAGGGCAATGATGTGGCTCAGCAGGTGAAGGTACTTGTCAGCCTGAGTGCTGCCCCTGTGCCCCACATGTAAGGAGGAGAGAATGATCCCTTGCAAACTGACCTCTGACCTTCATGCATAGGTATACACACACACGCACGTTCTCTAATGTAGTTTTAAAAAGAGAAAAGAAAGTCACAGGGCCAACTGTAGGAAAGCAGAGCCTGCATCTGTTTCCAGCTGGCAGCAGGCTACAGATGCCTGCCCATAACACGTGCCTAGGTCCCTCAGATGAAGAGCCCCATCTCTGTACTGTCGGCCCCCCCCACCCCCGACCCACATGTCTCAGTTGTCCTTCTCAGAGCAAACTTTTTTTCTTATCAAGTTAGAATGCCAACATATTTGGAGGCCTTTGTGTGACGAGAGTTGCTAGCTCTCTCTCTGACTGGGAAACACTCTTGTGGGATGACACCCCTTTGAGGGTCAACTATCACATATCCTGCCTGCATTTCAGATGTTTACATTATGATTCACGTCTCTTTTTAATATTATGATTCGTAACAGTAGCAAAATTACAGTTTCAAAGTAGCAACAACAACATGAGGAACTGTATTAAAGGGTCACAGCATTAGGGAGCTTGAGAAACACTGGTCTAGGAGGTGTGCAGTTCACCCAGAGCCAGTTGTCTCCCAGCATGGCCTGTGCTAGTGCTTGGAAACACAAGACAGGGCAAGCACTGGCCCTGTCTTTTCAGAAACCAGTGAGGTGGTTGGCAGCCTGCCAGAGCATGTCTTCCCATAACTGGTCAGAATGGTGTGGGGGACATGTCTCAGTGTGGGGCATGCATGGCAGGAGACAGCTATGGCACTCAGACTAGATTGGAGATAGAGACCTTGGAGGAGGGGGATTCAGAATACCTCTCACACGTATGCAGTGTGCCATATACATATACATATACATACATACATACATACATACATACATACATACATACATATCCTGGCTGTACCCTAGTCAGGAACACAGACATGCTGCTTGTGCTTATTTGTTTGCAATGTAAAAAAATGACGGGAGCTTGGAGATGATAGCTCATACCCTTAATCCCAGCCCTCAGGAGGCAGAGGCAGGTGGATCGCTGTGAGTTTAAGGCCAGCCTGGTCTACAGAGAGTGCCAGGTCAGCCAAGGCTACACAGAGAGACACTATCTGGAGAGAGGGATGGGAGAGGGAGAGGGAGGCAGGCAGACTGACTGACTGACTGACTGATTGACTGACCAACCGACCTGGGTGTGAGGGATGGGAGCCAGGATATAGCTTTGTGGGTAGAATGGATACTGACGGGGAGAGCTTGTATCTCAGCAACAGCCATCACGCTATCTGGCAGAAGAGTGTGCCAATCAAGAAAGTGGAAAGTACAGGAGGCTAGAGCCTGCCTGGTGTGGTGAAGGCCCTCCAGGGAGGCCTGGGCAGGAGTAGCTGAATGCCAGGAGGGCAAAGCAATGAGAAAATGTCAGTAATGATGGGGTTAATTCGTAGAGTTAGTAAAGGCTATAGCTTTACTCCAAATAAAACTGGAGTTGCAAGGGGGAGCTCATGGACCCCAGACTAACAGCTAGGAAACCAGCATAGGACCGAACCAGGCCCCTTGAACATGGGTATGAGTTAGGAGTCCTGGACAGTCTATGGGGCCTTTGGTAGTGGAACAGTATTTCCCTAGTGTACGAATGGACATCCACATAGAGGACTACTGTCTCAGCCTAGACACATGGGGGAGGGCCTAGTTCCTGCCCCAAATGATATGACAGACTTTGATGATTCCCCCATGGAAGGCCTCACCCTTCCTGGGGAGCAGAGGGGTGATGGGATGGGGGTCGGTGGGGGCATGGGAGGATGGGGGAGAGAGGGAATTGAGATTGATATATAAAATAAGATTGTTTCTAATTTAAATTTTTAAAAAGTGGGGGGAACAAACTGGAGTTTCTGGAAGTTTGGGGCCCAGGAGGCCTGTGGCTTTTCTCAGGCTGTGAGAGTAGATGAAAAGAGAGAGGCAGGCAGAAATGAGGAAGGTTAGAGATTTTTCTTGAGGGGTTGAATGGCCTGGATTCAGTGGTGTCCAGGGAAGAGTGACATGGGATGGTCCACAGTCCTTGTTTCCTGGACAGTCAACAGAATGCTGGTGGCCAGATGTGAGGTGACAGGAAGACAAGTCAGGGACAACTGAGTATTCTGGCATGACAGCTGGTAGGGTGGTGCTGCCTCTAGAGATGAGGCAGAGTTTCGGGAGCAGACTCAGTGATGGGCTGACAGTGCCCCCAGGCCCCTTGTTGGAGCATCTCTCACTTGCCCAGAACTCACTGGTCCAGGTCCAGTACAGCTCCTTAACCCCGGCTGCCCTGGGCCCTCCATCCCAATAAAGGGCATGTGAGTGTGGTTGACATGTCCTTATCTGTGTTGGGGACCACTCTGTCCATCCAGCCTTCTGTTCTGTATCTTCCTGGGATGCCTGTCAGTGGCTGGGACTTGCCTTGGTTGAGATCCCAGCTTTGCAGTCACCCTCTGTGACCCTGGACTGTGTACTTCACCTTACCAGTTTTTTTGTTTGTTTGTTTGGTTGGTTGGTTAGTTGTTTGGTTTGTCAAGACAGGCTTTGGCCATCCTGAGAGCTCCCTCTGTAGACCAGGCTGGCCTCAAACTCAGAGATCCGCCTGCCTTTGCCTCCTGGCAAAGGGATTAAAGGTGTGCGCCACTATGGCCTGGTCAGACCTTTCCAGTCTTGTCTCCCTTATTTCCTCTTGATCGGGGCTCACAGTCTCTGGGTGTCTATAGGTTTGAAAAACAAGGTAGGAAGCTACCTAGTAAGGTTTGGCAAAGTCATGGGGTGCCCTGCATCTCTGCCCCTGGGTTTTGCCTTGGCATCTATCTGCACGGAGTATGGCCACAAGCCAGCCACCCCCTCACTGCTGTTCTTTGCTCTTCCCTGAAGGTGGGAAGCTTTCGAGCCACCATGGCACAACGCCTGGTACGCATGCTGCAGATCTGTGCTGGTCACGTGCCAGGTATCTCAGCGGTGAACCTGCTGTCCTTGCTGAGGTGCTCCGACAGTACCCCATCCAAGGAGCTGTGAGCGACGCTGCCCTCCCCACATTTGGCTCAGGCTCCAGAAGCAGTCACTGTTGGTGAAAACCAGTCAGGGCCTGACAGGCCCTGGAGGCAGCCTCCACACTACAGGACTGAGCGAGGCAGCCTCCACAGTACAGGACTGAGCTCCGCTCCACCAGGCAGAGCTGGGCAGGGGTGGGGAGGGAACCTAGCGGCCACGCTTCCTGGCTCACCCCACAGGAGCCCCTGTCTTCAGCTGTCTGATTTCTTTGGAACAAAGACTTAAAAAAAAAAAAAAAAAAAAAAAAAAAAAAAAAAAAAAAAACTGAGAATCTGTCTCACCCAGTATTTGATTTTGTAAATGAAGAAACTGATTGTACAATTAAGGGGCAGAGCTTGGCTTCCAGGAGCCCAGGGAAATGTCACATGCTGGCCCCTGCTCCTCTTACAGCCTGGCGGTTGCTCCTGGGAACCTGTTTCCCTGGTGTAAATGGAGATGGTTCTACTCATGTCATGTTGAGAAGATTGAATGAAATGGCAGGTGGCATGCTGCCTGAGACTATATTATTCCCTGTGACTTGTCTGTCTGGTAGATCAGACACAGCATCATGCCCAGCACGGCTGCAACAAGGCACTCAAACAGTCACAATCCTGTAAAACCAAACAGAGCTGATTCCTTTTCTTTCTTTCTTTTTTTTTTTAAAAAAGACTTATTTACTGTGAATAGTGTTCTGTCTGCATGTATCTTTCACAATCCTGTAAAACCAAACAGAGCTGATTCCTTTTCTTTCTTTCTTTCTTTTTTAAAAAAAGACTTATTTACTGTGAATAGTGTTCTGTCTGCATGTATCCCTGCAGGCCAGAAGAGGGCACCAGATTTCACTACAGACAGTTGTGAGCCATCATGTGGTTGCTGGGAATTGAACTCAGGACCTCTAGAAGAGCAGCCAGTACTCTTAACCACTGAGCTATCTCTCCAGCACCCCCCCCCCAGGTTATTCTTAAAACTATCTCACATCAGGAATGACACCAGCAAGGTCAGAGTGTGAGAAGTGAACTGGGAGCCATTACACGCTTGCCCTCAGATCCAGAGGGCTGTTAGTACAAGGGCCATGTTGGAGTGGGGAAGTTCTGTTAGCACCAGTCAAGGTTTCCAGTGCTGCAGGAGGGGGCTTAACACATGGGGACCTGGGAGGTTCTGTGAGAGCATAGAAGGTCTCAATAGCTGGCAGAGACAGCCTCTGCTTGGATGCCACAGGCTGTAGCTACCTTCCAGAACAGCCCAATGCCCTGCCCTAGTATGAAGAGCACCTGTCTGGTTTGCTGTTGTTTGGATGTGTGTGTGTGTGTGTGTGTGTGTGTGTGTGTGTGTGTTTGGGGGGTTTTTCTTTGTTTTTGAGACAGGATTTCTGTGTATAGTAAACTTGCTCTGTAGATCAGGCTGGCCTTGAACTCAAAAATCCTCCTACCTCTGCCTCCCAAGTGCTGGGATTAAGGATGCAAACCACCACACCCAGCTAGACATACCTTTCTGACTTTATGGCAGTCCCTTGGGTCCCAGTAGGGGCCTTAGCTTTGTAGATCCCTGTGAGGCCACACATGTCACCTGACACTTGCAGAGCGCTTCATGCTCCACAGAGTCCTGCTCACACAGCAGCAGCTTCTGTCAACCGTCGTGCAGGGTTGCTGATGAGGCTACTTCACTGGAGGTGTGTCCATGGTCATAACCAGTGGATGGCAGACCTGCATGGTCCCCGGTTATGTGTGGCTCAGCAAAGGTGTGGCATGTCCCCAGGGAAGGCCTGAGATAGGAACACAAGGTTTTGTGCCTGAGAAAGCGGCAGTCTACGGGGTATTGTCTCCAGACCCCCTCAGTACCCTTGGCCCTAAAGTGGGGTGGGAGGGCTGATAGAGTGGCACCTAAGCCAGAGAAGAAGGCAGCATGGGCACCCCTCTTCTGTTTATGTCACCTGTCACCTTTTGCCGAGAATCGGAAGCTTCGCCCCTTACTCCTTGCCTCCCTAGCACTATGTGCCCATCTCTCCCTCAGGTCCCTGTGCCACATTTTCTTTGCCACCTGGTGCCATTTAACAAGAGAAATGGCATCACATTCCCCAGCGAAGACCTGGGAGCCTTCCAGGTGCTGGGGAAGCTTGAGGCTGTCACTATTGCCAGCTCCCTGCCAAGCTTGGCAGGGACTCTGGAACTAGAGGCACCTCTCTGGGGTTTGGGCTGGCCTGCCCCTGCTGCACAGCAGGGCTGAGTGACACTTAAATGGCAGTCAGGTGCCCTCAGTCCTTACTGAAGACAGCAGGGAGTGGTTGCTCCTGGCAGTGTGTCTGACTGAGGACATGAGAACTGGGCTTGGTGCTGAGGTGGAGTAGTCGGGTGACTCAAGGACTGGTTTGAATGGGGGAGCTATCAGATGCCTGCTGCCACCTGAATCAGGACTAGGATCCTCTGGGAGAGCTTTCTTTACATCACAGGTTCATTTGTCCCTAGGCTACCTGGTATGGGCAGTTCTTATATCCCTCCTGGAGCTCAGTTCTCTGCAGGAGGGTGCTCACCCAAGTGTTGTCCCTGCCTAAGTGGTGGTGGATGGTCATTCTTGTAGAGGAAAGGAAGCTTCAGAATGGCACCAAGGATACTCCACCCAGCTAGATGTGGCTCACTTAGCCAGCAAAGGTGGGAGGAACAGTGATTTTTCAGGCCAGCCTGGGCTCCAGCTTAAGGGAGGGGGGAGCAGATAAGGTAGTCTGTGGGGTAAAATTGCATTTGCTTGACTTCTATGTAAAGCTAGAAGAGTACACACTGAAACTTGTCCTCTGGTCTCACACACATTATACAATGTTAATACATTTTACAAGGGACGGGGATGTGGTTCAGTTGGTAGAGTAAAGTTCAATCCATGGCACCACATGCAGGCATAATGGCTCAAACTAGTAATCCCAGCACTCAGGGGTGGAAGTTCAAGGTCATCTTCAGCTACACAGTGCATTTGATGCCAGTCTGGGCTACATGAGACCCTGTCCAAACCAGGGCCAGCAAGGCAAGATGGTTCAGCTGGTAAGTGTTTGCTGCCAACCCTCATGACCTAAATTTCATCTCCAGTACTCATCCCTGCAACTTGTCCTTTGACCTCCATATGTGTGGCCATGTCCCCCCAATGTCATTTATAAAAATAAAATTAAAGCAAAACAAAACACTTCAACCCCGTAGAACAGAGGCCTGGGCTGCTTGGCCACAGAGGAAGTAGTGAGGTGAGAAGGGACCAGGCCCTGGAGTCTCACCACCAGGCCCTGTGACACAGGTCAGCACGTTATCCTGCTTTAAGCCCCACTGCTCTGCCTCTTTGGGGTTCTCATGGCTGAAAACAAAAGCCTGATCCTGCACCGCCCTCCTCTCTCCTCCGCAGGGTATGTGTGTACAGGGGAGCCAGCACATGGCTATGCTTGCCAGTGTGGAGGTCAGCGTCAGGTGTCTTCCTCTACCATTCTCCATATTATTTTTGAGTCAGGATCTCTCACAGAATCCTAAGTAAATTTCCTTAATACTTTATTTTATGTGCATTGGTGTAAGGATGCCAAATCCCCTGGAACTGGAGTTACAGACAGGTGTGAGCTGCCGTGTGGGTGCTGGGATTAGAACCCAGGTCCTCTGGAAGAGCAGCCAGTGCTCTTAACCACTTCACCATCTCTCCAGCCCCCCCCCCCAAAAAAAAAGTAAAATTTTAAGACAAAAGCACATCCCTCATCCCCTGGTGCCCTCCTTGAGTTTTTTTCTCTCCAGCCCTTCTCATCCTTCACCTATAGTTTGGTTCCTTCTTGGAGTTTGGGCTCCTGTTGCTGCTCGCTGCTCTGGTGTGGAGCCAAAAAAAAAAGTAAAATTTTAAGACAAAAGCACATCCCTCATCCCCTGGTGCCCTCCTTGAGTTTTTTTCTCTCCAGCCCTTCTCATCCTTCACCTATAGTTTGGTTCCTTCTTGGAGTTTGGGTTTGGTTTGCTGCTCGCTGCTCTGGTGTGGAGCCAGGTGTGGAGTCAGCACTTACTGGATGGTAAAATAGCCCTCCATGGAAACTGCAGGAGGCCCAGAAACCAGCCACAACTTGTTCTGTGGTGCCTTGAATGAAGCCAGGAAATTCCCCGTCCTCAACCTCCTCACATCCTCACTGTCCCATGCACAACTGCCCACTGCCTCCCACCCCCACCCCCAGGCAGGACTCCACTCCTGCAGCGAGAGGCTGAAGTTCTGTGGTCTCTTGTCTTGGAGCGAAGGCCCCGTGTCCTCATACCAAAGCCATGCATTAAGAATGACAGAGCAGGGACCCTGTCATGACAGTGCACAGGTGCCTGCACAGTGGGTATGTAGGGAGAGGGGACCCCAAGAGTGAAGCTCTGCCTCATGGAAGGGCGTGGCCTGCCATTGCAGGCTCCATTCTGAGGAGAGAGGACCAGGACCACCCTGACCACTTCTGTCTGGGGCACCTGCTGCTCAGGCCTGCAGTTTCTGCTCATTCCTCCACCATTCCTGCCCCTCTTCAGTGAACAGAAAACCTGACATGGTCCTTCCTTCTGTCCCCACTGAAGGGGACTTTCCAACAGCATCCTTGTTTCTCAGAACTAGACACAAGGGGGTTGAGGGAGGGGGCAAGGGAGCCTCTATTTTGAGGACTGGACACTGAAAAACGGAGGTGGGGCTGAGAGGGTAGACATGAAATTCCCAAGCCAATTTATGGTGCCCGGGAAGGCCCCAGGGCACTCCATCTTATGACTCATGTTTCGAAAGAACAAAAAGCTTTTGCACGTGTGGACCCAAGGCTGTGTGAGAGCAGTCTCCAGAGCAAGTGTACTGAGACTACCCGGCTACCACTTCCAACTCAGAAACTACAGTCTTGAAGGGCTGTTAATGTGGGTGCCCTGGGCTGGTTACAGCTGAAACTAACATTCATGTTTGAGAACATCCCAGGTCTCAGAGCAGATTCACATCCAGATCTGGGGGGCTGGGCCTCACTGTCCCCAGGGGCTGCCTCCCACCCCCATCACACGAGGCTTGTCCCATCGACACAGTGGCCTTACTTCTGACCCTGTCACTGAAGCATGAAGAACTTGGGCCATGCTTCACAGTCAGATGGGTGCCGACCCCGTCTAGACTTTCATTCCTGCTGGCTCGTCCTCTGAAAGCTCCCCCCCCCCCAAAAAAAAAAACGCCCCTGTTTTTTTTTCCTGTGTTTTTGGGGGAATTTTTGAGGGAAAAACCCCCCCCCCCCCCCCCAAAAAAAAATTTTTTTTTTTTTTTTTTTTTTTTTTTTAGGAGCAGCTGGGCATGGTGTCAGGGACTTTAATCTCAGTACTCAGGAGGCAGAGAAGCAGACAGATCTCTGAGTTAGAGGCCCAGTGGTATGCCCACAACCCTAGCACTTGATGGAAAGATCAGGAGTTCAAGGCCATCCTCAGCTATGTAGCGAGTTTGAAGCCAGCATTTAGCAAATGAAAAAGTTGAGATCAGTAAGACAAAAATTTGATTGAAGATACCACACCAAATCCAGTAGATTCTGTGTGACAAGTTCCACAGACTGAGGCAATAACTTCAAAAGAAGGAGGTTTCCTGGATATGGTTGTGGAACTCTCAGCCGGAGAAAAATATTGGGCTGTGATTCTCATGGCAATTTCTGTTTGCTTTTCTATTCCTTTTTTTCCACATTAACGAAATGTTCCTAAAAGCCTATGCTGACATTTTAAACAAAAGAAATAAGAAACCATCCCCTGAGGTGGGGGTCACTAGCCATGACCTCATCTCAGGAAAAACCAAATCATTTTTCCAAATCACTCATGTCATTCACATAAGTACAAATAGTAAAAACTTTCCCATCAATAAAATTTCATATGGCTGTCCATGTGTCATCGAAAGTGGGCTTAAGTGTCTGGTAACAAAAGATTTTAATAAAAAAGAGTTAAAATAGCTCATTACTTCAAAAACTCACAAGAACTAGGTAATAGATGTTAAACAATAACTGACCATAAAAATATATATTAGTTTGATTTAAGAAATGTGATTAGCCTTGGATAATCCTATGTTAGTCAAGGACGGTCTTATGTTTTGACTAATCAAGGATAATTTTATGTTTTGATTAACCCTGGATGATTCTATGTTTTGGATTTCCACGTCACTGTGCCAAGTAACAATAATGTCATATGTTTGGGTTTGCTTAACAAAAACATCCCCTGAGAAAATATCTCTGTAAAAAACCTTGTTTGAGAACTGCAAAAGACACTCAGATTCAAACTGCCTCTGTGTTTGTTTCTGTTTGTCACCGCCGAATTCTTACCCACCTATTCTTCGAGGACTCCTATACCCAGCTGGAGTAGTCTATGGCAAGAAGGAGTTTCATCAACAAAGTCCCTCATTTTATAGTGTGTGTGTGTGTGTGTGTGTGTGTGTGTGTGTCTGTGTGTGTGT